TCAACCTGCCGAAAATAAGTTAGTCATTCCACCCAACATCTACCTTGCAAGCCTATTTACTTTCTTCCATCAGACCTGAAAGCTAGACGCAGCGGATGACTAGTCCAACCGGGTCCGCCAATGCACTGGACTTAATACTCACACCGTGATACCCAATACGCAGAGAGAGATCTTATACAGTCTTCCTGACATCAAAAATAACATGATCCAGGTCAGTTTCCAGATTAAAATCGTCACTAAACTCAATTCTACAACGTCAGCTGGACCCCACAAAATAAACTGGGAATTCTTTCAGCAATTCATTCGTTTCTTCGACATGGATGTATTTTCCTCTATACCAGTGTGTACACTGCAGTGGAAAAGTTCCATAAACAAATCCATCATGCCATAGCCCTCGTTGCTTCACAATGTATTCATACCCCCCATTGACTCCAAGTAAAGTATTGGTGGGGGGCGTTTTCTTTTTGTTTCCCGGTTCGAAAAAAAAAAAAAAGAGGAGAGGGGCGGGCGGAAAAGAAGAGGGAGGGGGGCAGGGTTGATGGGGGAAGCTGGCCGCACCCGGGGGGGGGAACCGGCCGGGGGGGCCCCGGGCGCGGGGGCTGCGGGCGGGTGGGCGGGGGGGGGGGGGGTCGGGGGGGGAGGGCGGGGGGCGCGACAACGGGACGGAGGGGGTCAGATGTGGGGGGGCGGCGAAGAGGCGTGAGGGGCGGCAGGGGGTGGGGGGGGGAGGGGGGGGGGGCCAAAGGTGGGGGGGAGGGGAGGCGCGGTGGCACAAAACGGATGGGGTGCGAAAAGCAAAGGGAGGGGCCGTGGGGGCGGTGCTCTTAAAGGCAGCGGCTACAAGGTGTGGGTGAGGGGGGCCTCGGCCTTACACCAAGGAGGATAAGCCGCTCCCAGCACCTTCACTGGGAATGTCGCAAGGAAACAAATATCTGGGAGCAATGTGGTTGTCTTATTTATTTTTAGTATTTATACGAATTTTAAAAATATCTGTTCCTCCCCTTCTAAATTTCTTTTTCTTATTCTCCCATCTCTACCTCGCCATCCCAAAACAAAACAAAAAGGAAACAACAAAAACGGGGGGGATGAGGGAAATATAAAGAACAAAGAAGTGAAAAAAAAGCATAGGAGTAACAAACCAACATAAAATAGGCGGCGGGGGAACAAAAAAGAAATACCCCTAATATACAACACCTACAAATAACCCACGACCCAAAACAAACCAGCCATGAAAACATACCTGTGAAAGCTGGTGGTGCGGTTGGGGTGGGGGGAAGGGCTTGTAAAGTTTGTCCCCATCATAGATGGAACCGCAAACCGAGACACGACGCCGACCTCAACCGTCAAATCGAATTCTTCGTCTCTCCTCTGGAAACACGACAGGAGGAGTACGGGAAAGAAACCCAAGGGGGGTTCACCACGAGTGGGGGGCGGGGGGGGTTTTCGTTTAGGTTGTTGAGGGTTATGAAAAAAAAAACAAAAAATCTAGGTTTTTTGTTCATATTTTTCCTTAAACATTGGTGGAAGCCCAACAACAAAGAAAAGAAACAAAAAACAGCATAAGAAAAAAAAGAACAAACAAAATCGGGGGGGCCGCCATCGTCAAAACGCCGCAGGAGCGGGGGCCACGAAATAGTGATCTCACGTGCGACGACGGAACCCTAAAGGACGTGGCACTGCACCCGGGTCGGGGCCGGGTGCTCTAACAACACTTAGTTACTTGTATCTGCAGTAAGGCAATGTGTACCATCTCTGGGTGTCGGCCACACCTGTTACCTTTGGGCTAGGCTTGGTTACTGTGGAACAAGCACCCATTTCTCTACTCTCTTTCTTTCTTCTCTTGCATCTCTTCCACGGTTGCGTCGCAGGTGTAACCACTAACTACCCGGGTAAATAGAAGGAAAAATAACAACTCCGCACAGAGCAAGTTTCGCGTAAAAAAAGACATAAGAAACAAAAACAAAAAAGCGAGATGAACAGAAAACAAATGGAACTACTTTGAGGGCTTGGAGGGCTGCTGAAAGAAAACAACAACAAAAATTGCTTCCCCCAGGGCTATCCCGGTTTACCTACTCCTTCTTTTTAGGTTCTTTTTCTTGATGCTTTTTATTTTTTTGACTTAAAAAAAGTATTAAAAAAGAAAAAACACGTCAAATCCCCCCCCCTCGAACACCCCCCCCCCCTTTCTACAAAATCCACATACCATGCATAACCAGCACCCCGCCATAAAAACAGAAAAAACCCCATCCAAAAAATTCAATGTGCTAATTACACCCTCGCATCTTCACGGCTGCTGCAGCATACCGCCCCGTTAAAACCGACTTGACAGGGGCAGAACAGACATTGACCTAAACAGGATAATAATCCCTATTATGCATCTGTTTTCCTTATTCCCTACGACATTCTTTTCTTTTCGTTTCAGTTCTTGTCTATTCACATCATCTTAACCCTTATATGTTTTCCTTCTTTTAACTTTTAAGTTTGATTCGTGTTTTTTTTACTTATATTGGTTATAATACTGTACCATGTGCATCATAACATAAGTATTCCTATCTGTCTTTATATAGTGGTATAGCTATTTATTCATTTTTTCTTTCCTTGCGCTCCTTCTCTTTGTTTTTCCAGGTTTATTCTTTTTCTATTTTTCATATTGTCTTATTATTTTATTAATCACCATACCCGTTTTCCATTTCTATTCTAGAATCGTATTTTTTAATACTATTATATTATCAGTGACGATATTTAATTTGGAAAACTGCCCAGACACTGACTGCCTCGCACGGCCCGAACCCAACACTCTTCACCCGCGACAACTCCCACCCCCCGCCCTGATCAACACGCGGCGTTTCGGAGCGATTAATTTTTGTTATTTTTTTTTTTTTTTATTTATTTTTTTTTTTTGTTGAATGAATGCGCGGTGTCCTGTTGTGCCCAGGGGGTGCTAATTCCGCCTGTGGTTTTTTTTGTTTTTTCATTTTCTTTTTTCATTTTTCTTTTTGTTATTTTGTTTGTTTCCCGACAGAACCAATCCACAAAGAACGCTCTACTGGCCCACCCAGCCAACCAAACTCAGGACCCCCCTTTCAGAACTTCACGACAGCAGCACCAACGCACCCCCCCCACCTCCCGGCCCCCCCCCCACACATCCCCCTCCACCCCCTCTTAACCCATCCCCACCCACCCCCCCCCCCGCAGACAACGTATCTCTACACTGAACCCCGCCATCGCTCGATCCACCTACTCTCCTCCCCTTCTTCCCCCATCTCACCATTCCTCTCTCCTCTCTCTTTTCCTCCCCCCCCGCGATGTTATATCCCTTGGCTCTCCTTATCTGGGCGTCGGCCCTTGTCTGGGGAGGGGTCCCGTATTCCGAGCAATCGGGAACCCTCTTTGAGAGGGTATCACGGTTGGTGAGTAAAATTTTCTTCACTTCACCTTTTCCATTATGTTTTCTTTATCATTCAAATATCCAAAAAAAAAAAAAAAAAAAAAAAAGTACAAAGCGGGGTTATTTTTTTACCTTTTGGTTCAGGTTTTGTTTTTTTTGTTTTTTTCTTGTTTTTTTCTTTTTTTTTTCTTTCTTTCTTTTTTTATTTATTGTGTTTTTTTTGGTATTTTTTTTCTTTTTCTGTTCTTTTTTCTGTTTTGGGAAGAGCGAATTCACCAGTTTTTTTTTTATTTCTTGTGTTTTATCCTCCCCTTTTCCTTTTTGATTCTTTATTTCGTATTTTTTTCTTTTTTTTGTGTTTTTTTTTATTCTTGTTTTATTTTCTTTTTCTTTTTTTCCTGTTTTTTTTTTTTTTTTTCTTTGTACCTGTTTTTTTTCTTCTTTTCCTAATCCACCCCCCCCCGCGACTTATGTGCTATATAAATTCCCAGACGTGTGAATAATATATAATTACTTCTATATTTTCTCGTCTAGCCATAGTACCCCCCCACCCCATAATAATTCATAAATTCAAATATAATATCCATCATAAAAAAATACCCATAATTAAAAATTTAGATTCTTTGGGTAAGCTGTGGAATATATTACGTTATCATCTTTTAATTTTTCATCTCTACGAGGGCACCTTCCTTAAATTTTTAATATACATTCTAAACATAATATTTACTTAAAAATTAAATTTTAACTGCAAATCTATTTTTTGCTATTTGCCGGGGCCTGCGTAGACATCACTCTCATAAATTCATTTATTAGGCTTCCTCCCCATAGGGGAGGGATTCCTGTGACATCGGCGCAATAACCGCTCCAGCCCAATCTCAGTCGTAGCCGCGTGTACGCAAGTGGCAATGGGTCGATAGACGGTACCGCATGCGCCCCGGACGACACCGGCCCATACAGGTGGGGGGGAATGCGCCGGGCCAAGACAGAGCTGGCTAGGGCTCGCACAGCGCCGAATCGAGACGAGGCCGCCCCGGGACAGGGTGGACGGACCTGTGCGCTTTGTGATGGCCGCGGACCGCACTCCCAACCAATCCCGACGTCCACCTCCCTGATTGGGGTGCCCCCGGTCCCGGTTGGGACTAGTCAATCACCGCCCCAAGGCATGGCTAGGGGGGGGGGGCGGGGGGGGGGGGGGGGGGGGGGGGGGGGGGGGGGGGGGGGGGGGGGGGGCTCCTTGACAAGCCACCGATCCCCCGATTGCCCACCCCTGCACCCACTGGCCCGGCCCTTAACTGTTCTAGTCTAGCTCGTCTTATTTATTTTTCCCCCCCCCTCGCCCCTTTTTGTTTTTTATTTTTTCCCACCCCCAGTGTTACTTGATTGGACGCACGAACCCCCCCAACTCTTGGCAAACCACAATTGACACCCACCGTTACCCACGCCTCCTGGCACAAAATTTTATAGTACGCCCTGGCTGTTATGCCATCCCCCCGACTAACCATCCCCGCCCCACCCGCACCCTACCAAATATACAAAAATACAAACACCCACCACCCCAAAAAAACCCCCCGCCCCCTCCCCCCCCCCCCCCCACCCCCCCCCCCCCCCCCCCCCCCCCCCCCCCCCCCCCCCCCCCCCCCCTCTCCCCCACCCCCTCCCCCCCCCCCCCCCCCCCCCCGACCCCTCCCTCCCCCCCCCCCACCCCCCCCCCCCACCCTCCCCCCCCTCCCCCCCACCCCCGTTATTCTGCCGTCTCGCGGACAACGGGCAGGAAAATGCCCCACCCCACCCCCCCCCCCTCCTCCGCCCCCCGCCCCCCCATTCCCCCGCGGCTGTGCCCAACCTACTATGTACCCGCTACTTCTCGCGGACCCACGCTTTCTGAGGCTTTTTTCCTTTTGTTGGGTCTGTGGGTCTTTTTTTCGCCCCAGCCGCGCCCCTAGGTGTTCGGGGGGGGGGGGGGTTGGGGGGGGGGGGGGGAGGGGGCGGGGATCACAAAAAACTCTTTACTAGAAGCCACGAACACAACCCCGGGACTGCAGTTGTCCCCCGCCTATACCCCCCCCCCCACCCACCCCCCCCGCCCCCCACCCACTCCCCTCACCTCCCCCCCCCCCCCTCGCCTAGCCCCCCCCACACCCACCCGCTCCCGGGACTCCCCCCCGAAGCCCAACCAGAGCATTATGTTTACTATACGGAACTAGGTGATGGGTTGAAATACCGCCCAACACGCCCCGGTATACGTTTAGACTAGGGAGATGCGAATTTAGCCAGCAACACAAGATCCGGTGGCGGGGGTTGTAGAAAAACATGGCAGTAGAAAAAAAAACAAAAAAAAAAAAAAAAGTGTGTTACGTTTCCTGTTTTTTTCTATTTTTGCTGTTTTGTTCTCTTCCAGCGTTTTGACTTTTTTCAGTTTTCGTCCGTTTTTCCGTTTTTTTTGTTATTTTACTTTTTTACGACATATTTTTTTTTTTGTCTTACACCAAAGGGTGGGTGTACGAAACTTTAAACACCTGGATAGTAGACCCCACCGGCTACGCCACCCCGCCACCCATCTATAAAACCCCTATACGGCCCCCCCCCCACACCAGACGTATAGAACTCGACCATTCCCCGCACCCCCCCCCGCATCCCACTCAAACCCCACCCCCCTTGGTTCAACAAAGTATAAACCCCCCCCCCCCCCCCCCCCCCCCCCCCCCCCACACCCCCCACCCCCCCCCCCCCCCCTTATTTTTTCCCTCCCCCCCCCCCCCCCCCCCCCCCCCCCCCCCCCAATCGTTTTATGGGGGGGTTCTGCGCGGT